CGCATAAGCGGCCAAGGGTTTGGACCGCCCTAGGCGCCAAGGTGGCCGCCTAGGCAGGTGCCCAGACAGAAAAGGCGTCCTAAGGGAAGGGGTTGGGGTGGGGGCCCTATGTTGTTTTGTGTGCGTGTGTTTTGTGAATGTGTTTAGTGTGTGTGTGTATATGCACACGTATGTGTATGCGTGAGGTCTTGCGTGAAATTCGTAAAGATCGTCATTTTTTTCTTCTTTTTTCTTTTGGATCTGTATTTATGAAAAAGAAGTCTCGAACACTTGGAGGATATGATACAAGAGAGAGATAGAGCTTGTGAGAGAGCGGGACCTCGCATCAAACACTTGGAGATCATCCTTTTTGTTTTTTGTTCTTCTTACATGTAAAGAGGGAGCATATGAGTCCATGTATATCTTAATGTCTGTATGGGTGTGCGTGTGTGAGAGAGAGGCCGCATCAAATACTTAGAGTCATCATCTTCTTCTTCTTCTCATATGTAGAGAGAGCACATGGACTTGAGAGAGAGATAGAGAGAGAGAAAAAGGGCAATACAGGCACTATTTTTGTTTGGGTGGATTTGAATTTCTTTTTATGTATTTATTTATTTCAAGGATGGCCCTAGGTGGGCGCCCAGACTGCCTGGGTGCATGCGTTGACTGCCTAGGCCCACCACCTAGGGTACGCGTAGGCGGTTTGTCGGCCAGGCCTCCTAGGCAGACTGGTCATATTTTAATGTTCATTCCTGAGAATTTGTGAGCCTTTAATATAGTTGTAATTTGTAGGCTGCACTTATATAGCTTCTTTCTGATGCTAGTGTGTTTATCTTGCATCAGGTACAAGTATTTAGATAAGATGAGCGGGATGACCTCCTTATTTGAGGTTTCTGGTGCTCATTTATCTGCAAAAACTCTACAGTTGGTACAAACTGACCGACATCTTCAGTTTCATGGAATTGAGGGGCTTTTTATTCCTTATGGAACTGTTGGTGCGGTTATGAAAGTTATCGATGGAAATGTTGCTCTCGTTCGTTGGGAGGTAATGAATTGGTGACTTCTGTTTATGTTTAGGTGTAAGGCATGATGCGTAAACTGCCATAGTTCCTCATGCTTTTAGCTTATCCCCGTTGTCGTTATCTTCTTAGAATGGGGAAGTTGGGCATCCTGGGGTAAATATTCCACACCAGACTTGCTTTTGGTTGGAGGTCCTCCTCGGTGGCTTTTTTATACAATGCAAGGATCAAATATTGATTTTCCTTTTTATTCAACTGATTCTCCATTACTTCATCAACTTTATATCGCTGAAAAAGTATCATAGTCTTACTCACTTTTCGTTGCCTGCTTCACCTTTTCAATTCCTCCTCTATTACCTGATGTAGGAGAACTTGAAGAAATATAAAAATTCAGCAAGAAAGCACCTTGACACAATCAATTTTGGAAAAACCCTAAGGTTTTTTCCCTCCTAGGGCTTAAGCCTTAGGCTTCTTTTACAAGACAAAGTCATTCTTTTCTTATAGAGAAATACATAAGTGACTCTCCAGCCCATCCATGCCTTTATTTATATTGAAAAATTATTGTTTTGGACAATATTTGTCTATACGCTTTAACTTTTAACCAAAAGGTCATAATTTAAATATAACATGAAATTAAACTCTCTGACTTTAATTAAAATATCTAAAAAGTCCCTAGAATTCTTAGAAACTAAAAAAACCTAGAACTAAACCCTAAAACTAAAATCAGAATACACATACTTTAAAATTGAATAGAACTTAAAAAGAAGTATAATTTTTCCCTCCATCATTGCCTCTCTCGTAAGTAATCTTTTTGCAGTGTGTGTTAGGGCATTACATTTTCGTTTTTCTTGGTACCTTGTACTAGAACCTACCTTGCCATGCAGCCATCACTAGCATTTCTTTCATCGTAAAGGCTCCAAAGCACTAGGTGCGTGGGACTCTTTTCTTGGAGCGACCCTTAGTAATGACTTGAACGTCTCTTTCACTTTCACGTAGCCATCTTGGACAACCTTAACACAATGAAAACAGGCTTCAAAATGCATAGCAGGGAAATGAGTTATATGGGGCAATGACCAGCTCAACCAACTGATCTTCTTTTGACTATGTAAGATTGAGGTGGTCGGTTTCCCTCTAACACTGACCAACTGAAAAAGTAAGAAAAACGAAAAAAACAAGGTAAAAAAAGTAAAAAAGTCTCTGGCATTAACTCTTTGATATTGTATCCATTAACAATTTGTTTCATTTTTGTTGAGTTTTACTATTAGGGGTTCATTTTGGCTTCTTGTGTACTGGTTTTTATTGGTTCATAATGTTTTTGCATATGTGTTTGTTTTCTTTCTTGCAGCTTCCTCAGTCTGGACTGCTGGTGCTGCTTGTATGTTTATGTCAAGAATTTCATCAGATTAATTTTGAGGAAATGCTTACGATTTCGGATCTTCTTTGCCGAATGGTCACGTTTAGCACGGTGAATTGGCCTTTTCCTGATGCGTCTATCTTATTTATCTTATTGAACATTTAGTGTTGTAAAGCATGCGACAGCTGTTGGTGTCCTTGAGTCAGTTATGCAGTGTGATATCAATTTTAATTAAGTGATGGAATATTTGAACTTCAATTGATCATTCTTTGCCCTTTGAGCAATTTTATATTGATAGGATACTGCAATCCATATGGATTTTCCATTTTAAACGACATGGTACTGGTAATTTTTTTCTTTCATTTTCGTATCATGCTAATTAATGTCATGTGTTGTGCATTTAGGTTTTTTTTTTTCATTATCCCTAGCTCTGAGTTTGAGCCTTGCTATTTTTACCATTGTGAGTTATCTGAAAGCTGTTTGGTTGCCTCTGCTTGTTTGATCCACTGTGATCATCTTCATTTCAATTATGGCTAACGACTAATTTCCATTATTTGTCGTGATTTACAGTAGTGCCGGACTTGTTGAGTTTGTAATGATTTGACTAGAACATGTATTTGAGCACCTAGGTTTTGCCATAAGAATATATTGACATCCTCATTTTAAAGAGTGGGAATGTGTGAATCTTGGGAACTCCTCCTGACTTGTCCAAAAATGTAAATAAATCCTCTCCAACATGCCCAAACTGTTTCTTGATTTACTTGAAACACTGCTTTGGTAAACATCTGCATGTTGATCTTCAATTTTAAGTTATAAATTTTGAATGGTCATTCATGCTACGTTTACTGGGCTGAAATTGCTATTGACCTCTATATTCTTGCGCCTCGTAAGAAGTGGGACTCTAGACATTATGGATAGTCACGCAATCTTATATAAAGTGAACATTAGTTAGTGCTTTGGAGTTTGGTCCACAGTTAATGGGATCTCCCAAACAAGGGGTCTATCCCGCTCTGGAAGCTCGATCTTGCACTTCACGTGGGAAGATCTATATCCTATGGTATTTTTAAACTTTGGGATGTTCATCCTTCCAATAAGGGATCTAGATCCTTTGTTACCTGAGATCCAAATTCCTTTGCATCATATGTGAGGGTTTGTTAGGAAACTGAATCGAGGTTCCACCAATGTGTGTTCAAGATTCCTTTAGTAGTAGACTCTATTGTCCGTCTTGCCCTTTTTAATAGGTCATGATGTATATGACGCCGAAAATGGACCGGTTTGATATCACCCCTCAATTAGAATTAGCAAAAGCAATGTCTCCTTGCATAATATGGATCCCAAACATTCATGATTTGTATGTGCATGAGTCGAATTACGTATCCCTCGGTCTATTAGTGAACCATTTCTGAAACTTAAGCTTTAATTTAATGCTAAGTAATGGCTACTTTGCATAATTAGTTAACACTTTTATGCATAAAGTAATATATTAGTTGCATGTTTTTTCTGCATAATTTCTACTGGTGGTAGACTAAACTGTCCCCATTGTTCAAAAAACTGGACTGCTCAACGCTTAGGCAGTCCAAAAGGCCTGGGTGCATCGCCCAGTCCTAGGCGGCAGTCCTTGGATAGCTGCCTAGGCTGTATGGAACCCACCTAGGCGGGCGCCCAGCACCCAGCCTTGGGTCGCCGCCCAGGGCCTGCGCCCCGTCTAGGGGCGGAAATGAGTTTTTTGTTTTTTTTTTCTATTCAGTTTTTTTGAAACATAAAGGCTTTCAAGGATGGGTTGTAGGTTCATTTGAAATCTAAACCCACAAGAACCCATTTTAGAGAGAAAGAAACTTAAAAAAACTAAATTTTGTGATTTTCATTGGATCGAAGTGTTTCTCAAAGTTACGAAAATGGTTCCAAGCATCACACATGTAGATTAGATTTAGTTTTGGAGTTTTTTAATCCTATTAGAGGTTGTTTTTTATTATTTTAGCACAAGAAAAAACATCTCAGAGGTGGGAGTTTGGAGTTCGAGCAATCAAAGTAAGTGCAAAACTTTATTTTTCAGATTTTTTGTTTTATTTTGAGATGTCTTCTTCAGGATCTAGTCGAAGTGGAGATCTGGGTTGGAAATATAGATATAACCTGAATCCAAATGACAAAAATTGTATTAGATGCAATTATTGTGAAAAAGATACAAAAGGGGACATAAACTGGTTTAAGAAACATCTTACCGGTATTAAGGGGGATGTTACACCTTGCAAAAATATTCCTGAAGCTATCAGAGAGGAGATTAAGCAATATATAAGTTATGTAAAACAAAAATAGAAACAAAATCCTTGTCATTTGAATAGATCTATTTCTGGTTCATCTAGAAGAAGTGATCCACTTTGGAAGTATGGTTATAACCTAAAACCAAACGATAAAAATTGTATAAGGTATATTATTTGTGAAAAAGATACTAATGGGGGTATTAACCGATTCAAGAAACACCTTGCCGGTATTAAAGGGAATGTTGCTCCTTGTAAAAAGGTTACTAAAGCTATTTAGGATGAGATTAAACAATTTTTGAATTTAAAAGAACCAGAAAGGGATGAAAATGAGCCTTGTTTTATGGGAATATCTTCTTCAAGTTCTTCTAGAAGTGGTGATCCGGGTTGGAAGTATCCGAGTGACAAAAATCGTATTAAGTGTAAATATTGTGGAAAAGATACTAATGGGGGCATTTACTTGTTTACAAAACACCTTGCAGGTATTAAAGGGGATGTTGTCCCGTGTAAAAATGTTCCTGAGGCTACCAGGGAGGAGATTATACAATATTTGAGTTCAGTGAAGCACAAAAAGATAGAAAAGGATAGAGCAGTCAGGACTCCTAGGGCCTCATCTGCACATACTAGTAAGAGTTAGGTAGAAGAAGAGGAGGAGGAAGATGCATATTCAGAAGGAACAGAGGAGGACGAGCGTTATATTGAAGAGGGAGATGACTCTGATGATGATGACCTCGAATCTGATGCATATGATGAGGCTTGCCCTATTCCTTATAATGATTATGATGATGATTGAAGAATGAAGAGTTGAAGACGCTTGAGTGCTTGACTCTTGGTGTTGACTGTTGAGTGTTAAGTATTGTGTCCTAGACTGTATATTTTCTGAATTTCTGTATATATATTTTTTCTTAATTTTAGTTTCTACTATCTAACTTTTGTGTGTATAGTCTACAATGTATCAATCTATCAGTGTTTGCTTGTATGGTTTACTGTTTTAGCATTGTATGAAAATATGTATTATGGTCTTATGGATTATCAAAATTCTCTTCTCGACTTCTATCTTTTCTTTTTTTTTTCTTTCAATTGGGCCTCCCAGGTTCTAGGCGCCCGCCTAGGTGCTGGGTGGCCTGGACCCCCCATGGCTGCTTAGGTGCCGCCTAACGATTTTTGAAACACTGACTGTCCCTTTTGGGCTCTTCAACAATTGACGAGTTACCTTGAGCTTCAGCTTAATACTTATTTTAGTACTTTTTATTCAACAAAGAAGGATGGCCATGATTGTTATTGTATTGTATAACGTCATAAAACTGCACACAACTAATGCCAAAATTGAAATATTATATAGTGGTTCAATTTTGTTTTTTTTTTTTTATAAAGCTTATTTCTCTTTAAAAATTTTATCACTTGATGAAAATATAAAGTACACTAAAAGGAGTACAAAAATATTAATTATTATATAATGATTGGATTTCTTATCTCTTCAAAAAATTTTGAATTTTTTAAAAATTTTATAATTATTTATAATATTGTATGGACTGTGCTTCCGATCTAGAAACCCTAGTTAAGTGCACTCAAGGACCTTGATTTTTAACTAGATAGAGCGCGAATCTGTGGAACTTACCATTCGATATGTCAAATTTGGGATCGAGCTCCCCAACATATTGGGATCTCGATGCCTAAATTTTGGGGTGTACGGATGGTGATTCCACACCTAGGGACCTTCTAACCTTTTCACGGTCCTTTGCTCCCGATCCAATACCAAAACAGGTCTCGATACCAATTCTGGTAACTATGGTTTTGTCTGAAGGAAGAGCTTGTGCCAAAGCAGTGCTGTAGAATCCTTGTTCACTCAGCTTCTGTGCTGAATTTTACCCAGCTTGGTTTATTTCTCTTCTATGTTACCATGTTTCCCCCATCATGGTGCAATATTGAGTGGTAAAACTCATGTTCTTTGGGCTATCAATTTTGCATCCATGAGAGAGTGATGGTTATTCTCGGTCATTGAGATCCCTCTTTCTAGAGAGGATTTCAAATACCTCAATGTTATTGCCTCTTTGTCCTAGTGATCTTTACATTTTGAGTACCTCAATGTTCTTGTCTTTTTGTCGCGGTGATCTATGCGTGCAAGGTGCATAGATTGGCCCAAAGCTTCATTACAAATGTGATGCTGGGCTCATAATCCTTCGGTTTGTGGCCTCAACAAGTTTTTTCTTTTTGAGGAAAGTTGATTATAATTGTATTATTGTTTAATAAAATGTACAAACAATGAGGCCCTCTGAGAGAGCACTTTTACAGCCCCAAAGGGTTCAAAAAATGATACAAAAGAAGGATTACAACTCCAAGGAGATAGGTGGGGGGTCTACAAAAATCTAAAGCCCCACCGGGGTGTCTGAATAGGCTCCCTCTCTAGCAAGACGATTGGCTTCAGAGTTGGCTTCCCGAAAAACATGTCACCATGAGATTGAGATACTCGGAGACAACTGAGATATCTTGTCAAAGATGTCGTCTAAATGCCACGGGCATGGAGAGAGACTAGATGCCCAAGTGATTATGTTCTTAGAGTCCCCTTCCACCTCCAAGTTGGGAACCCTAGTGTTGAATGGGGTAGGAATAAGCTAGCAATGTCTGTCTCTCAATGGAACGAAAAAGGCCACCTACTCCGGATGGGCAAGGTTGCCAAGGGAGGAGTCATCAAAGTTAAGCTTGATGTAGCTTAGCTCAGGTGTTTTCCAAAGAGTTGCCTGCGAGATCTTGGGCTTGGCCACATGAAGTAAGTTGTTCCAATTCCTATGAAAGTCAGTGTAGGGGAAGTCCTTGAACAACTTATGGTTCGAGGCCTAGAAGGCTACTAAGTTCCTAACTGTCGCAACCGAAGATCTTTCTCCTTTGAAAATTCTGTGGTTCCTTTCTATCCATAAAACCCACAATATTGCCTCACCAAGTTTTAATGTTATTCTTTCATTCTCAAGGGCTTTTATGCCATAGCATCTCAGCCATAGTTAGTCTCTGTAAGTGACTTAATTTGTTTGTCGATATTTAATGTAACTTCTTGTGAGTATTTGCAAGTTGTACTTCCTTTGTGATGGGACGATTTCGTCACATAACCTAACAGCCTCAATCTCAAGTGTCTGACTGTCCACAAGTCCTTATTTTCCAAGGTATTTTGAGTTGGTCCTTACTAAGAGTAGTGGCTATGTAAGATTGAAGTGGTGTTAATTAAATAAAATTTGCACTTTTTCTTTTATTCATAACTGGGTAATTCTACTTATGATGCCAAAATTTTGCAGCAGAAGCGGAATAAAATAAAAATAAATACAACCTATGGATCTTAGCTTTGACTGCCTTGAAAACAAAATTTATTGATAAAAATTACCAGTCTAAATCAAATAGGAATCCTAACTTAAACAAGAATCCTGTTTTAACTAGGAATCCTAATTCAAGTAGGAATTCTAATACAAATATGGATCCTAATTCTAATACAAATAGGAATTCTAATATAAATAGGAATAAAAAACAATAAACGGAAAAGAAAAACTAAAGGAAAAATAAAGCTGGGACTCATCTGAATTTTGCATTGGGTCACCCCTATAGGACTCACCACAACTCACACCTGATTACCAGACCATTTGCGCACTGATCCTTGGCCTTGCTCTAGTCCTCCAAATCTGGGAAACACCTATGGCAATACTCTCTCACAAAACTAGGGCTAAGAGCATGAAGACAGTTAGGTTTTCTTTTCAACCCTTTAAAACTCTGGGTATCATTTCAACCCAAAACTTAGGACTTACCAAAATGTGGGACCACCCTTTGAGCCAACTATGGGC